CAGACACACTGCACCCAGACACACATAGCACACAGCACCCAGACACACACAGCACCCAGCCACACAGACACAGCGCCCCCCAAACACACAGCACCCAGACACACACAGCACCCTCACTCACACACAGCACACACATATATATATAAAATAACCCTCAGTGAGTTAACAGACAAAGAAAATTAGAAACCTAGAATGTGACAGCAGATAAAAACACCCTCACACACAGCACCCCTCTTACATACACACACTGCGCCCCTCACACATACAATAAGTCAAAATATATATATATATATATATATATATATATATATATATATATATATATATATATATACATACATACACACACACACACACACACACACACACACACTACAGCACCCCTCACCCTGCACCACTACACACGCTCCAGATACACATTAGATCCCTTACCCTATATGCACTCTTAATCCTCTACATACACACACTGGGTCCTTTACACAGTAGATCTCCTACACACACACACTACATTCCTTGTCAGCAAACACATACAACATTCTCTAAACACACCCTCTCTGCAACCCCTACACACACTACGTCACCTATACACACACACTTCAGCCCGTATGCACACACTCGCTGCATCCCCTATAAAACTATGCCCCCTATACACACACTCTCTACAGCCCCTAGCCACACATATTACACCACAAACACAAATTAAATTGACCTATTTATACAATACCACACCACTCTCTACACACATGCAATCCCACAAGCAGGCTCCAAACATATGCACCATGCACTTTCCTGGCCCTTTTGTCCTCTGGTATCCCACTTGTGGAAACACCAGAGACAATTTAAAAGCAAACACAGCACAAGCATGTTATTAAATTTGCTTGAGCTGCGCAGAACAAATTCAGGGTCTTTTTCTAATGTCAGAGCTCTTCAGCAGGGCTCTGGGCATTGAACCAACATGCTCACTGAGAGGGGGCGTGTTGTCATTAGTGATGACAAAACACACACTCTCTGGCCCCGCCCCTTTCTTAGGGGGCCGCTCTGATTGAAAAATGCCCGGGCCTAATTTTTTTCCCAGTCCGGCCCTGTCCGGAAGTATTACTTTGCTGAGAGGGTAGTGGATGCATGGAATAGCCTTCCAGCTGAAGTGGTAGAGGTTAACACAGTAAAGGAATTTAAGCATGCGTGGGATAGGCATAAGGCTATCCTAACTATAAGATAAGGCTAGGGACTAATGAAAGTATTTAGAAAATTGGGCAGACTAGATCGGCCGAATGGTTCTTATCTGCCGTCACATTCTATGTTTCTATGTTTCTATGTAACTTGTCAGGGCTAAGCTTTGAGCCTTGGCAGAAGTATTTCCTTTTTTTGAGCATAGTTTGAATACTATGCCCCCCCCCAAAAAAGCAATCATAGCTTAAACATGATTGGACTTAATATTTATTATCATGAAAATGTTGGATGTCTCCATGTGCTAAACCCTGGGGCATGTCCTTCAAATGTAACCCAGTAACAGCATTTCTCCCTGCATTTCAGTTCCTAAAATAATTCAGTCTTTAGTGAACAACCCCTTTTCAAAAAATAATTTGAGGTGACAGACCCACTTTACATCACATCACATTAGTTCAAAATCATGACTGTAACATATACATCTGTATTTGCAATGTTGCCTTATTAGGCATTCTCTGCAAATGATGGCATACCTAAAGCAATCTTTTTATTAATGACTTTCAGAATGAACAGAATGTTATGCCATAGGCATCATTTTATTTTGTCTCATTAATGCAAAAACATGAGATGAAACACAGCTACAACCTAGAGAGTTATTAATTGAGCAGAGATCAGTTTTCTTGAAGATGATCACTAGTGCTCCGTTGTGGATCATTCTATTGAATGATGATATTTTGGGAACCCTTACAAAATCATTGGTTGGCCCCACATTGTACCCCACTGATGGAGAACCTGATAGGAGTCTAATGCCTCGTTTCCACTGAGCG